AAAGCTGATGGGTGGTGAGGCGATCAACAAATCCAAGCAGACGCTTGAAGCTGCCGTGATTCCCGACTGGTATACCAGCCCTGACCAGCACGCCTATTTCTACACGCTTAGCATCCTGGAGGCAGCCGCCGCAGCATTTCCCAATAGCCAGCACACGAAGATGCAGGAGTACATCTCCGACCAGACCTTCGAGCTTATCATCGACAGACGACGAATTGCCAAGCTACTACGGAAAGCAGCGCAGCATGGACCAAAGCACCACATAGTGACCAGAGGAATTATCAAGGAGAGGGCCTGCACAATTGAACATCCGACAAGAAGCTTGCCGTCCAAGTACATTGACCAGCATGGCAATGGACTCATGCGCTTCGCCATCGACGCGCAGCGGGCTAACTTCAACGATTTCAGCGGATATATCCTTGCTGCGCGGGAGTGGCTCAACGAGACTCGGAACACATCATCACTGATGGTCGGCGACGACTACGACGACTTCATCAACCAGCAATGCGCGCGAGCAGCAGAAGCGAGGCACAACAACGAGCCATACAACGAATGGAAACGAGTACGCAAGCTACTATTGTTTGGTGGGCGCAAGCGACGCAAGACACGGACATCCCTTACGATGGGTTACAACAGTGGCGAGGGCATCACAGGCGCGGCAGCGAAGCACAAGGAAACCGTCCACCACTTCGGCGACATCGAAGCTGCAGCTTTCATGACAAAGACCGACATAACAGAGCAATGCAACAACCCAGACGACATCTGCGACAACACTACGGTCAGAAGCATCGACAATTTTGCTAGCATCTACGATCTGGAAGACATCTGGCACGGTGCAAACTCGGACGAGCTGCAGGATCTGACGAAGTTACCGGCGACCTTGCCCATGCGGCACCACGAGAGATGGCACGCCGTAGGCGCCCGCTAATTTTAAAGACTGCACTGCTCATGCGAAAAGCAGTGACACACAAATGATCACAACTGACACACTTCTGGAAAGGGAAAGGGGCCGAAGAGATGCGACAAAACCGCCGATCGATATCGCTCGCTAACACCATCATCACGCACCACTACAAATACATACGGCAGTGCATGAAGGATTTGTTACCTGGGCGATTCTTCAGCACTCAGATGGGAGGCCGAAGCCACTACAGCACGGACTACAACCACCTTATAATGCGACCGACCTTCAATTTAGCAGCCTCGGAAGGAACCGACCTCATCATGATCATGATCGACCTGGAAGCTGCCTTTCATAAGGTAGCCGCGAACCTGGTATACGACATGCAGATGAGCACCGACGACATTGACAACCTGATCGGCCATGTGGATATCCCTCAATGCATGCAGCCGGCTATGCAGACCCTCGTGAACAACAACGGCATCGTCAGTACCCACAAAGACAACAAGCGTTTGCTCTCGATGCTGACCGAAGCCCACCGCAACACGTGGTTCTTCACCGAGCGCGACTCAGACAACGCAGCACCAAGGCTAGGAACCTATAGCCGACTTCACTTTCAACGCGCTTATGTTTGCAGTCACGAAAGACTATCACGAGGCGATCAAAGCGGACGCCACCGTGAGAATACCAGGCAGTTCACCAGTATTCTGCACGAGCCCAGAAGCTCAGCATATGACGACAACGTCATCCGTCGACGACGCGAAAGCTATGGCAACGGTCACCGACGGCAGCGCGATCGAGACTACAGTCAAAACCATGTGGGGGATACTAATACGAACGACACTATCGCGAGGACTCCCCATTAGCATTACCAAGTCTCACTTCCTCACCTTCGCCAACGGCAAAGAATGACAAACAGTCGCGGGACAAATGCATACCGACCAGAAAAAGAAATACACTGACATGGGGATGACCGTGGCTATTGCGCGAACTCTCTAAGTCTTGGGCGCAATGCTGAGTGTTCGCAACGGCTTTACCCAAGAAGCGGCAGCTCGCGTATTTGCTCTGCAGGAGGCTACCACCCCACACTTTGAAAGACGGTGTGCAAGCGCGACAAGATCACCAATAGTGCTAAGATGTATTATCTCAAAGCCCTTGGCTACTCACGATTACTGTGCAATGCAGGAACCCGGATGCTTGCAAAAACAGCTGACACGGACAGGATGGCTACTGCATACACAGCAGCTGAGAGGATGGCATTGGGCCCTGACCATCAGGCAACTCAGCGGGAGAAGATCATCAACATCGAGATCATCAGCTGGGCGGGCATCCCGACACTCCCACAAAGACTACGGCGAGCAAGGTTGCGATTGATTTTACGGATAACTAATGCATGCCCTACTGAACTAAGAGCCCTGCTTGACTACGACATCGGGAACAAAGGCACATGGTCAACTACGATAGCAGTCGACCTCCACCACATCAAAGAGCACGCCAGCAAGCGCTACAATACGCCCAACTACGACGACATACGCACATGGATAGTCATGGCAAAAGAAGAACCATCCAAATTCAAAAGCAAAACCGCACGCGCATACAAGACAGCCATCGGGTGCAATAAAGAAGAAGCAGCCACAGTCGCCTGGAGAAGACGCATTACAGACATGTGCGACGGCAGCGCCATCCCGGCGCCCGACATCGAAGACCCCCAACATGACCGAAGGTACCGATGTTACGGGTGCGGGCGAATCCTGGACGGCCAGGCAGCGCGCCAAAAGCACATCACGCAAGCACAGACAGCGGAATAATATAATCAACCACGTCCACGGGACTACATGCCAGTTCTGGGTGATGGAGCACTGGACGGTCAACCGACTGTACAAGCACATGTGCGCCAGCAGACAGCGTGCATCACCTGCCGTAAAGTTCAGCAGGCATCTCGGCGACGACGCAGCCAACGACTTATCCGAGGAGATAAAACACATGCGACGAACTAGCAAAACCAAAGGGCTACCCGAAGACTATGCAGAATTGCCGCGTCTACAACTCTACGGCCCACCACTTGCACAGCGAACAGGCGCGGGCGACGAACGTGCCACGATGATTCCTGCACCAGTTCCCCCTATCACCGCAAAACAGAAGAAGAGCAGTACGAGCGACGAGGACAGACGGAAGGTGCCCAGACACGCGATCGTCGTTTCCGCCACACTCGGTACGACGCAACCGATGGCGACACATTGGAGGCAGGCAGTGACAGGCAATATGGGACGTCGACGATTCTGATCATCACCGACCTGAGCGCTACCAGCGAAGATACTATGCGCATCGTCAGCGGCGCCGAGCAGCAAGCAAACCTACAACACCGACGAGTACGTATACCTACTGCAGCGAACCACACGAATAAGGCGTGCAACGACAGAAGTCCCGACTACACGAACAAGTCCCGACTACACGAACAACGCTATTCACGAAGCTATTCGGAATAGTACAATTGACGCCACCTACTACAAGACCATACCGAGCCTCGACAAGAGACTCCAGAAAGGAAAAAAAAAAAAAAAAAAAAAAAAAAAAAAAAAAAAAAAAAAAAAAAAAAAAAAAAAAAAAAAAAAAAAAAAAAAAAAAAAAAAACGACCATCATGGATGACAACGTGAAGATACGTGACGCTATCTTCATCATGTACCCGTGCATCGCCAACGACGCGGCCTGCTGGATGAACATCGGACTTCTCGGCCGTAGCCCCCCGTGAACTACAACACTTGAAGAGCCGCAACCTTGTCACTGCGACCGACCGCGCGATCACGAGCAATCACTTTCAGCGCACCAGGGGCGCCGACGACGACGCAACGCGGATCATGGCGGCAGCACGCGAATGCAGCAACAACGACGCACAACCGACAGGCAGTCTAGCCGAATTCGTGACTTATTAAGACTGCTACCACGAAGAAAGCGAGCATGAGCAGTCAACTCAACATCAGGAGACGAGACTGCCAGAGGGTACCAGCGCCGAGCGGGCGTCGCCGCACAGTGCCACAGGAATCAGACAGCACAGGTCCTAGCATGGTGCAAACTACGGCTATTCCCAGAAGTGCGATTATCCGTAAGGGCTTCGCCCCCTGCTGCTGGCCCCCTCTCTCGGATAATGGGCCATGGAAGAGCTAAGTCATGAGGCCTTGGCGCTGTCGTGAAGCAGTGTCGAAACTTCATGCGAAGCCGATTCGCAATCAGCAAAACCAACTGATCACAAGAGGGGTTACCACACCTGGCGATTGGTAAGACGTGTATGGTTTACGGGATTGGTTACCACACCTTGCGATTAAAGGGCCGAGGGAGTTCTCGCAGTTTGGGTTACCACGCCTTGCGATGGATGTGCGTGAAGGGTGGCACCAGAATTTCAGAAATGTGGCAAATCCCTTGTGTGTTTGGACCCTGACCCCGCGGATCTGCGTAAGGGGTGGCGCCGAATTTCAGAAATGTTGCAAATCCCTTGTGTTTTTGGACCCTGACCCCGCGGATTTGTGTTAGGGGTGGCACCGAATTTCAGAAATGTGGCAAATCCCGTGTGTTTTTGGACCCTGACCCCGCGGATCTGCGTGAGGGGTGGCACCGAATTTCAGAAATGTGGCAAATCCCTTGTGTTTTTGGACCCTGACCCCGCGGATCTGCGTGAGGGGTGGCACCGAATTTCAGAAATGTGGCAAATCCCTGTGTTTTTGGACCCTGACCCCGCGGATCTGCGTGAGGGGTGGCACCGAATTTCGCAAAATTTCAGAAATGTGTTTGTGTTTTTGGACCCTGACCCCGCGGATCTGCGTGAGGGGTGGCACCGAATTTCAGAAATGTGGCAAATCCCATGTGTTTTTGGACCCTGACCCCGCGGATCTGCGTGAGGGGTGTCGGTTTCGAGCCCCCCCAGCAATTCAGACAACGCGCCCAGGGGGTGCTAAAAAGCCGGTTTGGGCCTCCCCCCCCCTCGCGCGGTCAATCAACTAGTTACAGTAACCAGCAATAAGCAGAACTGTAACTCTGGAAACTACAAGCTACAACTGGCACAGGAAACTGCGAATCCCGCTCCTCGCAGCCTGGTGGCCCCACAAGGGGGCCGGCGGACATCGAATAACCACGACCACGACCAGTGCCTCCTCGACGTCAAGGACAACGCGACAGTGGCGAAGATCAGCGCAGACGAGGAGGATGACCGCGATGGCTTGTCACCACAGCGCGTTGCGCCGAAGGGCGGCAACAGCCCCCTGCCCCCCCGCAGCGCCGCTGGCGCCGAAGGGCGGGGGGCAGGGTCGGTCCAAAGAAGGAGACACCAAACTTAAGAACGGAGCAGCAGGCCACCTCGGCCTGGGCCCGCGCCCGCGCGAGGGGCACATGAAGGACCCCTGCGACAATACCACGAACATGCCCAACAAAGATACCAGCCCCATGCAGAACAGGGTCGAGAACGCCCCCTCGGCGGCGAGCGCGCCGGCCCCCGTGCCCATGGGGGCGCCGGCGGCCGCGAGGGGGATGAGGTCGACCAATGCCTCTGACACCTGGCCGCGCGGGGGCCGTTCGAAGGGGGCCGGGCCGCCCCGGGATCCCTGGCCTCCCCCCCCTCTTCGGCCCTGGAGGCCCTCCCCTTGTCCCTGCCTGGGGTTCCCTGGGGGCTCGGCCGCCTTGTAGTAGTGTGTGGGCCCCCCCTCCATTCCTTCCTCTCTTTTACTTACGGTTGCCGCCTTGGCTCTCTCTTCTTGGGGGGAGGGGCACGCTCGTGCACGAGAATTTGGCCCCCCCCACCATCAACTCCGCGTCGCATGCGCGTGCTGGAGGTCGTCTTCAATTATGGAGGTGGTGGTCGGGGGGCTGAGTGATCTAGGCTTCGGATTTTTGCCCTTCGGCCCCTCGGGCCCCGGCTTTTTTCCTTCCTTGTGGCCCTTTGAGGCGCCCTTTGATGCTGTTCGGTTTTTCCTTCCTCTCCCTTGGCGGGGTCTTGGTGCAGAGGCTGTTTTTCTGAGGAACCCACCTTCCGCCTCAGCCGCCCCGCTGAGGTAGAGGGTGGGACATAGGTCACGATGCGCGTGCTCGGTACAATTCGGGCGCGCTCCCAGCGCGCGGCCGCGGGCGCGGGCGCGCGCTGCGGCTACGGCGGACAGACCGCCGCGTGGCCGTCAGCGTCAGGCGGAGGTGGAAGAGGAGGAAGAGGAGGAGGAAGAGGAGGAGGAGGATAATGATGATGAGGGGGAGGAGGAGGAGGAGGAGGAGGAGGAGGAGGAGGAGGAGGAGGAGGAGGAGGAGGAGGAGCAAGTCTGGGGGGCGGCGGAGCACGGGGCGGGATAGGTGAGCAACGCTCAGCCGACGGCCGCCTACAGCAAAGACTGCCGCGGCCAGCGCTGCATGGTCGGTTGCCCCACTCTTGGATTACAAATCTGCGCCCCCCCTTGTTACGCTATTGCGAAGGCCTGACGGCCGGTGCCGCCGACCCTGTTCGCAATGCGCAGCAAGAGGCACGGGCTGTGGGATGGTTTGGGGGAACGGGGAGAAGGACGAGAAGGTGGGGGAGGGAGGTGTCGTATCTGACCCGGGACTTCCCCGGGACTCCCCCGGGACCCCCCCCGGGACCTCCTCTCCCCCCCCCGTCGGGGAAGGGAAAGGGAAGGGGCTTCCCTTCGACTCAATGACGACGTTGCTCAAGGTCGGTACGGGGGGGGGGCGTCGTATCTGACTCGGGGGGGGGTCGCTACCCCCCCCCGCTACCCCCCCCCCCTCCCGGCGGGGGAGGAATGAAAGGGAAGGGGCTTCCCTTCGACTCAATTACGAGGTTGCTCAAGGTCGGCTTGGCTGGAGCCCAGGGGAAGAGGAGTCCCAGGGGGGGGCGTCGTATCTGACCCGGGGGGGGGGGTCGCTACCCCCCCCCCCCTCCCGGCGGGGGAGGGATCAAAGGGAAGGGGCTTCCCTTCGACTCAATTACGAGGTTGCTCAAGGTCGGCTTGGCTGGAACCCAGGGGAAGAGGAGTCCCAGGGGGGGGCGTCGTATCTGACCCGGGGGGGGGTCGCTACCCCCCCCCCCTCCCGGCGGGGGAGGGATCAAAGGGAAGGGGCTTCCCTTCGACTCAATTACGAGGTTGCTCAAGGTCGGCTTGGCTGGAGCCCAGGGGAAGAGGAGTCCCAGGGGGGGGCGTCGTATCTGACCCGGGGGGGGGGTCGCCCCCCCCCCCTCCCGGCGGGGGAGGGATCAAAGGGAAGGGGCTTCCCTTCGACTCAATTACGAGGTTGCTCAAGGCCGGGGCTGGAACAGGGAAGAGGAGTCCCAGGGGGGGGCGTCGTATCTGACCCTGGATCTGCTTTTAATGCCCTCCCGGCGGGGAGGGATCAAAGGAAGGGGTTCCCCTCGACTCAATTAAGTTGTCGGGTCGACTTGGCTGGAGCCCAGGGGAAGAGGTCTCCCAGGGGGGGGGCGTCGTATCTGACCCCGGGGGGGGGGGCGCTACCCTCCCCCCCCCCTCCCGGCGGGGGAGGATCAAAGGGAAGGGGCTTCCCTTCGACTCAATTACGAGGTTGCTCAAGGTCGGCTTGGCTGGAGCCCAGGGGAAGAGGAGTCCCAGGGGGGGGCGTCGTATCTGACCCGGGGGGGGGGTCGCTACCCCCCCCCCCTCCCGGCGGGGGAGGGATCAAAGGGAAGGGGCTTCCCTTCGACTCAATTACGAGGTTGCTCAAGGTCGGCTTGGCTGGAGCCCAGGGGAAGAGGAGTCCCAGGGGGGGCGTCGTATCTGACCCGGGGGGGGGGTCGCTACCCCCCCCCCCTCCCGGCGGGGGAGGGATCAAAGGGAAGGGGCTTCCCTTCGACTCAATCCTTGTTACGCTATTTGCTCTCGCCACATGCCGCAACCAGTTCTTCGTTCAGGCTGAGCCCCCTGCCGTCGCAACTCGCGGCTCTCAGACGTGCGCCACTGCCGCTACCCCTCCCCGCCAACTACGTACCCCCGTCTTCTGTTAATTACGATCCTCCTCTCTCCTCCTTTCCCCCCAGGGCGCGCAGCTACCTCGCCCCACTCTCCCTGCCTTTCGCCTCCGTCTTGGCTCTCCCGCTTGATTGTTATAGGCTCCAATTTGATCCCCGCCATGTGCAGCGGCCCATAGGGAGGGGTGACGGCAGCGTCCGACCCTGGATTCCGATGCCCACAGCCCGGGGCCGAGGAGGAGCAAACAGCGAACAACATGTGAACCAGGAGCTATCCGAAACGATACTTGGCCTGCAACAGCGAGAGGGACGTGGCGAGCGAACCTCAGAGCCCGCCAAAGGAAACCCCAACGACTTAGGCCCTCAAGGCCGCGTTTGTCGAGGGGTGCCTGCCGTGGCGGGATCGGGGGCAGGAGGGGAGGAGGAGGCGCATGCAGGAAGAGAAGGAGGCAGGAGAAGAAGGCTGATGCACGAAGAGCTCCTTTGAAATCCCCAGCGTCTACAAGGGTGTAGGCCAACTCGTGTTCAAATGTGTGGCTGTCTTCTCAGTGCCGCGCACATTCTCATTAGGGCAGTTCCATTACAACAGGGTCGTAAGGCGGTGCGTTGACAACCGGTGGCCCAAGCCACAGAGCTTCGCACATTCGCTTTGAAAGTTGAGGCTGTAATTCAGATGGAGGGCGGCTCCTTTTCAGAGTGGGCCTATCACGTGAGGCCCATCGCGTTGTATGGCCATGCGCGTGGTATTGTGCGACAGCTGCGCGAATGTTGAGCGGTGCCTTCTCAAAATGGAACTATCGCCGCTTACATATCTTTGATATAACATGTGCATGTGAGGAGTTGCGACAATCACAGTGACGGAGGGTCGCTCCGTTTCAACAAACAAATCGTCATACGCCCCCGTGGGCTATAACCGTACCCCGTGCAATCTCGCATGGCTAGAACGATGGAGGGAGGCACGTTTTTAAGCGCTGCTATCGCTTGAATTGTTGAGGTATCTTGGCGCATCGCTGGCGCACCCTGGGTTCACTGTGGCCCCATCCCTCCTTCTCATCACTATTCATCCTTCCGCCTCCATATTCCCTCCTTCTCCGTCCTCTTTCCTCCTCCTACCCCAGCCCTCCCTGCTCCCTGCCCCATCCCTACCCCAACCCTACCCCATCCCTCCTCCATCCCTGCTCCGGTGCCCCATCCCTTCCTCCTCCTACCCCATCCCTACCCCATCCCTCCTTCCTCCGTCCTCCCTCCTCCTCCCCCATCCCTCCTCCTCCCTGCTCCCTGCCCCTCCCCTTCTTCCTCTGCGTCCTCCCCCGCCCCTCGTCCTCCTCCTCCTGGACTCGGGCGACCCGCGACCGACGGAAGGGGGGGGGGGGGAGGGGGAGGGCCGAGCGGAACCGCGCAGGTGGCCTCGGCTGCGCAATACGAGGAGCGGGACTTGCAGGAGGGGGGGAAGAGTAGGGAGTAGGAGTAGGAGGAGGATGAGGAGGAGGAAGCGTAAGAGGGAGTGTGGCGTCGATATTCGGACGAGCCCACCCCTCAGTTTCAAGGAGGAGGAGGAGGAGGAGGAGGAGGAGGAGGAGGAGGAGGAGGAGGAGGAGGAGGAGGAGGGGGGAACATGAGGGGTGAGCGACGAGTAGAGAAGGGAGAGGAGGAAGTGGGGGAGGGGCGAGGAGTAGGAGGTTGAAGTGTGGGGGGACGAGGAATTTGAGGAGACGGAGGAGGAGGAGAAGAAGACGGACAAGGAGGAAGGGAGTGAGGCATGAGAGGAAGAGGAGGAGGAGGAGGAGGAGGAGGAGGAAGAGGACCAGTTAGAAATGTAGACGCGCCAATGATGTTGCACTGAACTCTCCCTCCAAGTTCTTTGCTCACCAATCCCTGCAATAATGTACATAGATTCAATGCGGGAAGTGGCCCATTAGAAGACAACCGTCTGATAATCTTCAATCGTGCCAGAACACTATTTATGGGACCCCCCCTCACCTCCATCCCCCCTCCCTCCCCTGGCGGGCGGAAGGTAAGAGCAGATTCCTCCAATCCATCTCTCGCCCTCGGCGAACGTCGGCTTGACGATGCCTTCGCTGTTGTAGCCTGCCCCCCCTCCTCTGCCCACCTCTCCCGCGAGGAGGAGGAGGAGGAGGAGGAGGAGGAGGAGGAGGAGGAGGAGAAGGAGGAAAGGGACGAGGAGGAGGAGGAGGAGGAGGAGGAGGAGGAGGAGGAGCAGCAGGAGGACCCTCTCCTGCCCGTGCGACTGCGAGAGGAGCTGCTCAGAGAGCCGCAGCCGCCCGCGCTGGTGTTCTACACGGCGCCCGCGGGCCCTGGCCGGGTCCCGCGCGAGGAGCGGGAACGGGCTAGACGTAAGAGTGACCTTTCGCCGGAGTGACCCTTGGTGCGGGCCCACTGGGGTGCCCCGAATCGGGGCACCCCAGTGGGCCCGCTCGTTCGAGAGGACGGCTGGCCTTTTCGGCGGCCGACGCACGGGCGGCGCACGGGCGACAAATGCGCGACGCACTTCCTGTCGCGAAGGGGGGGGGTCAGCACGCCGGTCGTCTTACTGGGCCTTAACTGCCCCGATCGCCGAATGCGAGGCGGCGGAGGCGTCTTGCGCGCTTGCTTGTGGTCCCCCCTGGCGGCGCCCAAAAAGCTGGGCACCAAAGGTCACTCTTACCCAGGGTCACTCTTTGTGCGCAGCCGACGGAAATGGGCAGGGCGGCGGTTCAGAGATGGGGTCTTGAGGGAAGCAGCCCCGAGGAAAGAAAGGTCGAAGAACAACACATTGCAGAACCAGACGGTTTCGGAACTTCGAGCGGTGTGCTTGGATCGGCGCTGGAACCCCGTAGCGGCGCCTCCAGCGCCGCCCCTGTCGCGCTCCGCGTGCCAGGGGGGTCCGGTGCAGATCCAAGAAATCCGCGCGGAGCTCCGACAGTTCATGGTTACGCAAGCTGTTTCCTAGACAGGGGCCCCAAGCTGAGCCTTTCCTGTTAGCGGCCGCTTGCTCTCAGGGCCCCCACATCCTTCGGGGCCCCATCGTTGAACCGCCGAGGGGGGGGGCGGGGGGGCGCGGCTGCAGGCGAGGGGGGGAGGCAGGGAGGGGACGGGGACGGCGACGGCGAGTGCAGGGCGGCGGGTGGGGGGACGGGCGGCAAGGAGGGGGAGGGAGGGCGGGCGGGGCTGGAGGCGCGGGGGAATGCAGCAGGAAGACGGCGACCGCGAGTGCAGGGCGGCGGGGAGGGGGGAAGTGGATGAGGAGGAAGAGGGAAGAGGAGGGAGGGAGGAGGAGGAGGAGGACGAGGAGGAGGAGGAGGAGGACGAGGAGGAGGAGGAGGAAGACGAGGAGGAGGAGATTGTGGATGTGGGCGGAACCTCCTACTTTGGACCTGGTGCAAGCATTGCCGTAAGGAACGCAAAGAGCAGCGACCACCGTGGCAGCGGGCAACAACCAATTGGTGAAACAGGACCAGCTCGCAGCGCCCAGAAAGGGACATGCTCCTCCAAGGTACCGCTCGCAGACCTCCAAAATCTGGTGGACGTCGCCACTCAACAGGGGGACAAAGTCGCAGAGACCAAGTGTTCAGCCGAGCTGGCAAAAGCCCGCGTGGTCCGCCCGTTGCAGCAGCGGGTTGCGCAGGTTCAGCGTAAGGCGACCGCCCTGGGGGAGCTCGGGGCCGCCACAGACACCCTGGGCAAACTTCAGCAGCAAGTGTCTGAGCAGGCTGAACTGGTGCGCGTCCTGGTCACTGAGCTCGAAGCTGCGGAGGCGGAATACAAAAAGGTCCTGCAGGAAGGATACCAAATCACCGTCGGCCACGAGAAGGGGAGTTCCTCTACAGGCAAGCTCAACCTGCAGTCCCTCCTGGAAGGCAAGGTCAGCGCCGAGGACCCCTTCGACGATGGAGGCATGCTTGACGTCGGAGATGAGTATGGGTCGGGGGCAGAGGATGAAGCAGAGATCTCCAAGCACGACGAAGAGCTCAAGGCCACCATGCAGGACGGGGCTGCCAAGCTCTTCGCAGACGCCAAACGGAAGTGCGACGCGTCACGAACCGCCCACGAGGAGCAGAAGAAACGCCCCGCGGCCAAGAGACGTCGTGCTGAATCTGCTCCTCCTCCTGCCCGTGACGTCGGTGGCGGCGAGCCGGCATCTGACGATGGGTCACCGCCCGAAGGGGCCACAGCTGATACAGTAGAGGACCTAGGAGCTGATCAGCCCGACCAGCCGCACCAGTCTGTCAAGGAGCGCGCCGCAGCGGCCCTCGCGGGCAAGGGCGCCAGCAAAGGGAACCCCGAGTCGGAAGGGTAGCCCATCCCATGGGAACCCAAGGGTTCATCGCCGCGTGCGATTCCACCTTCGCCCCTCTATCCGCTACTACCTCGACGTTGGAGACGACGAAGCTGGTGGTGCTCAGTGTCCAAGGGTCCGACGCTACCTATTGCGTGACCTGCCGTTCCCATCCCCGCCAGAGTCTTCGGCCACCTGGGTAGATGGGGCTCCAGTTTTGACCAGCCACAACGGGAGGCACCCACCAGCCTCGGACCAGGGCGCGCAGGTGGAGCATCACCCCAAGGGAAACGCCGTCGACAACCGCGACGGATACGGACGCGGCCGCGGCGGCTGACCCCCCCACCTGCCTTTTCCTTAGCCCCTTCCCTTAGAGGCAGTTGGGAGGCCGCGGTGGGCGCTGGCAGAGGAGGGAATCTGTCAGCCGCGGCGCATCGAGCTCATGGGCGCGACGCGGCTGTGTCGGCAGACTCTATTATCTTTTCCTTGGCCCCTTCTCTTCGGGGCAGTTGGGGGGCCGCGATGGATGCAGACGGCAGCGCAGCGCCAGCCGCGGCGCGTCGAGGCAATTTTCCACCAGTGCGGCACAGGTTGCCCGCGTACCCCTGGGGGCGCTGGAGACGCTGGCGGCGGGGGCTTAATTTGCGGCGGCGAAGATCATGACGTAGTGGATGGTCGTGGGGACTAATATCACAGCGCGCATTGGTCGGAGTTGTAGCTGGACAGGTCCAACCTCAGCAGCGAAGAGCACGCGGCGTAGTGGAGAGTCGCGGGGGCTACCATCACAGCGCGCGTGTTTCGGAACTGTCGCGGGGCCGGGGCACCGCGCCCGTCGCGGACGACATCGCACATGTCAGAACGCAAAGTCCCGAGGGGAGGAGGAGGAGGAGGAGGAGGAGGAGGAGGAGGAGGAGGAGGAGGAGGAGGAGGAGGAGG